CGTCTCCCCTTCCTGTCCTTTCTAAAAAGCTAAATTTAACTGAGACTTAGGAGGATGTCAGGCTGGACTTGCCATCCTCTGGGTGTTTGAGGGCAGCAGCTTTGTCATCCTTATCTGCTGCTCTGATGTGTCCCTCTTTTCTCGCTAGCTCTTCAGGATTTCTGCTTACTGATCATCTCTGGTTTCCATTCTTGTTTCCCCTGAGAGCAATCATGTTTTGTTGTTTCCAGCCAAGAAAGGTCTACAAACATGCAAGATGCTCGCAAGAGGACAGTCACACATGCATGCTTGCACACAAAAGCATGCCCTTTTTCTATTTCAGTCTTGGATAGCTGCATTCTGCCTTTTGCAGACCAGTGTGATGGCTCCCTCTCTTGTTATGTTGGGGTATAATACTCAGCTGGAACAGGATGTTCCAAATGGGACCTTAAACCAAACTCACTTCTGTTAATTTGCTGTAGATCCAGATTTGGGACTAAGTAGGGAGAATGATTTCTGACTTAGTTTTTATATTTAAAGTCAGAAACTAAGATCAAGTTTGTTTGTTAAAAGATGATACTGAGGGTCAAAAAAAGTTGAGCTTGGATTTTGGATGCCCTGTTCTGGGTTTAGCTGAAGATGTCTCATAGGATCCAGGCTGGAGGGTTGTGCATGCAGTTACTCTGAAAAATAGGTCCCTCAAAGCTCTCTGAGTCTAGTCACTGGAATTTCAGACTCTGGTTTTTAACGTTCACCAAGCAGTAAACTGCCCCTATTGCTTGAGCTTCTAATCATTCAGAGCATGAGATTTTTAGTAATAAGCAGTTACTTGATTTTTTTTTTTTAAGCACAGAAGGCCTTTGAATAACCTTACAGTAACTGGTGGTATTACAGCCAGATTTGCTCTTTGATCTTCCGATTCATTTTTATTATTGCTTAATTAATACTTTAAAAGGGTTCACAGTAACCAACCAAGTGTAGGACACTGATGGGGTGAAGGGAGAAACTCAGCTTTTTCTGAGGAGGTGGATTTAAGTTGGTATAATCCATAACATCTGTGTCAAACCAGCTTCTCTCTCATCCTTGGCTTTTCTTGAACCTGGATATTGGCTTGTAGTGATCAAAAGTAAAACACTGAGGTGGTGACAGTGGGGCTGAGGGGGCTGCTTGCCCTGACTCTGACCAGCAGCAGTGTTTCCCTGTGTAATGCTGTCCTGAGGACAGAGGTGTGAGGAGCCTTTTCTGGGCAGAGCTGCTCTGGGTGTCAAGTGGCTGGTGAGGGTCTTGGTGCTGATTGACCCCTTGCTGAGAAGAGTGAGGACCTTGGTGTTGATCACAGCCTGGGGAACTGGGACAGTGCCATGCTGCCGCCTGCTCCTGGAGGAGTCAATGGGGCAGGGTTGTTGGGCCATGTCTCAAAAGCAGTCGGGAAGGACAAACTCTTGGTTTTAGAGATCCCCTCTTCTCACAGACTTAAGAGACCACAGGACCTGGCTTGAGAATGCCTCCCTGGTGATGTGGAGGCTGTATTGCTCACTCCTCTGTGCTGACAGAGTAGAGGCTTTGTTGAAGCAGTGAGTGACTTGTTACTGATCCCCTTTTCAGGAGAAGGAGAAGAAGTATATGTTACCAGTGGATAACCTGAAACTGCGAGATGTTGAGAAGGGGTTCATGTCCAGCAAGCACATCTTTGCTCTCTTCAACACTGAACAGAGGTATGCTCACATCTCGACATGCCAAAATTGTTGAAGCTAGGGACAGGATTTACATATATTAGATAGGAGGGAGTGGAGATGTGTGTTGGGATAACTGTCCAGGAAAGATGTGAGTATCCTTTAAGGATAGCCAGTTTTGGAGGTGATGTGAGACTTTTTAAAAAGTCGTCTGACTTGATTCCTTCTGGTCTTACAGATAAGTACCGTTTTCTTTCTTCACCAGTGCATGGCCTCCAGTGTGACCTTAGCCTTCAACTATTTGGTGTGGTTACCTGGATCTGTCTGTGGCTGGAGTATATATTTATAATCAATGTTCTTAGTGAGTGACTAGAGAAAGGCAAAGGAGATTGGGGACCTAGGTTGGCTGGAGGAGTCCAGCAGTGAGCAAAATTGAAGGAATCTTTTTCGGGCCTTGTTGAAACACACAACTGATTTGGGGGCAATCAAACTTGCTGATAAAAAAAAATATTTTTTTTTCCCTTCTGCATAGTCATCGTGAGGATACTAGCAAGGGACTAAGTGTCTCTGCCTTAAAACAATAGGAAGATTCCCTGGTCATTGACATCTTTCAAATACGGGCATTTCAAATGAAATGTTTGTCTTCTCAGGAATGTTTACAAGGACTACCGGCAGCTGGAGCTGGCCTGTGAGACCCAGGAGGAGGTGGATAGCTGGAAGGCTTCCTTCCTTCGTGCAGGAGTCTACCCAGAGCGTGTTGGGGTAAGTTACAGCCATAATAATGGGATGAGAAGGAGCACAGCATGTATCTTAAGGATAGCTGCATCCTCTTATGTTAAAAATAAGTCTGTGAAGGTTTTGTTTCTCTCCTGAGCTGAGGATATTTTGGAAAAAAAATTCAAGTTCTTGGTATGTCCTGGTGCTTCCTTTATGGAAACTTGGGATCAAGTAAATGGCAGCTTCAAAGGGGAGATAAAGTAGGCAAAGACTGCCTTGACTAAACCCTTCTAGCTCCCTTGTTTTGTAAGCATTAAATTCCCAATAAAAGGAGGACACTTAACCACCTTGACTACTGAGTGGTACATGCCTGCTGAGCGAAGGCACCATCCTTTTCAGTAATGCTTACTGCACAGCCTTCTTAGAAGCTTCCTGGCTTAGTAGTAGTTGTCCTTCTGTTCCTCCCCCACCCAGTTAGGAAGGGATGTTCTCTGAATTTTTCTCTTTTGGTTGGTAGACACCTTAATGTGCTACTTTAGCAAGACCTCTTATCTCTTCCCTTAGCCTTGTCCCACAGCACTTGCTGTCAGCATTATGCTCTGCTTTAAAAGCATGTTCTAGAGAATTGTTGTGTACGTTCCTGTTCAAAGCCTTCCTGTTCCTCTGTGAGAGGAAGCTGCTATAAATAGTTTTTCCATTAGAAAAGTGATAACTGCTTATCTGTTTGTATTTGTTGCTTCTAATAGACTTCTTGCTTTTATCTTTTCCTGTTACACTTGAAGATTGTGGGTTTTGCCTTAAAACATTTCCTGACAAACTGGTGTAACTTAAAAAAAAAAAAAAGGATTAGAGACGGGACCTTAACAGGGACATGCTTTCAAATTGGCTTTGGACCAGATTGGGACTCTTAAACACGTACTGGTAAAGGACATGTGCCACCTACTGGTGTGCAAATGGAGTGGTTTGAGGTAGGAACACTGATTCTAGGTTGACTGTCTCAAAACCCTGTGTAATGAATAACGAGTAGCTGTTGTAGGTAAGTAAATTGCCCTTTGTGGCTAACAATACAATTTCCTTTGCAGAGCATCCCATTTTGATTTTCAGGTTGTTCTTCCAGGGTAATCGAGATATTTATGTGTTTTTAGTGGGATTGGTCTTTTGCTTTTCAGTGCTATTATGGGATCTTCTCCAAATTCTGAGACTAACTAAAAGTCGTCTTTTATTTTTTTTATCCCTTTTTGTTTTAATTTTTTCCACGTATGCTCAAACTGGCCTACCAGGACAAGGACAAAGTAAGTCTGACCCTCTCTGCCTGTGTTGCCCCCTGGGGCTCCCACTGAATAGTTCTCTCTTGTTTTTTCCTTTTGTCACAGTTTCCTGAGAGGCGTTTCGTCTTCTCCCTCTTTGTACCTTCTGTTGGATTGCTGCTGCTTGTTTCTGTTCTTGGTTTGAATTTTCCTTTTTTCTTTTATTTCTCTCTTTTTGTATGGCTTGTGAATCTTGGTGCAAACTTATTTTTGCAGTTTTTGATCCTTTTTTTTTTAAGTTGTCCTGTTTGACATCCACTTCCTTTACTTTGTTTCTTACTGAGAACTTGTGTTCTTTGTTACGTAAGATTTTCCCAGGAAAAGCTCAAATGAACAAAAGAATTTGTCCTTTCTTATATGTTTTGTTCCCCCAAACAAAAAAATAAGCAATTTCCCACACTACTGCAAATCCTTCAAACTGGGATGGTTTAACAGAAAGATTTTTCTTTATAAAATCAAGGGTTTTTTTTAAATAAAGATGGATAGCAGTTTTTTCTTGCTTTGAAATTGATCCCAAATGGATGAGCCTTGGTGATTTTGCTTGCTGTCAAATAGCACAGTCCAGGTTTTACCTTACAGAAAGCTAAACAATGCATTTCAGGCAGATGGGCAGAGATTCATCTGCTTGGTGTGAAAGAAAATATAATTATGACTTACAATGCAGGATTTGCAGTTAAAGTGATCAAGAAGGTTTTCTAGATTATTCTATCTACTTGCAGTCTGACAGAGGTGAGCAATTATCTGTATCGGTTTTCTCATTTGTATAATGAGGATGAAGATGCAGTGTGTCACAGAACCTCTAAGACTTAATTTATGGTGAGTGATTCTCAGGTCTAAACTGAATCTGGGCATGGAAAACCCAGCTCAGATGAAGAACCTTTCAGGAACCTATGAACGTTTAAAGTAAAAATACAGCTTTAAGTATTTGCTAGAGCCATAACCTGTGAACGTTGGCCAGGAGTCCCTGTTGCCTTTCACCTTTGCGTAATAACTCTTGAGTAGAGCGCGTAGCTTTGTTAAACCTCCTCAGATCTGAGCTGGAGAAGTCTGTACAAGCTGAGATGTGCATTAACAATCACAGCTCGAAATGGAAGTTTGAATAAGTTTTATTTATTGCATGCTTCTCCTGCATGTTCCTTTCTTTTCTTTTAGCTCTCATGAAAAGCTAATTTTATGTTACATTTGAAGAACCAGTCTTTCTCCTTTTCTCTGCAGGCCAGTGAAGCAGAGGAGAATGGATCAGACAGTTTCATGCATTCCATGGACCCTCAGCTGGAGAGACAAGTGGAAACGATCAGGAACCTGGTGGATTCCTACATGGCGATTGTCAACAAGACCATCAGAGACCTCATGCCGAAGACAATCATGCACCTCATGATAAACAATGTACTTATCACACTGTGGTCAGTGGAAGTGGAGAGACAGAAGGGGAAAAATAGGGAGGGAGAGAAAGAATAAAGAAAAACTGAAGGCAGCTTGGAAGGAGGAAGAGGTGGGGACAGGATAGTGTTTTGGGGAAGGTGATGGAAACTGGTTCCCTCTTTGCTCGTTTACAGACGAAGGACTTTATCCATTCGGAGTTGCTGGCAAACCTGTACTCTTGTGGTGACCAAAACACGCTGATGGAGGAGTCAGCAGAGCAGGCCCAGCGACGTGACGAAATGCTGCGCATGTACCATGCCCTGAAAGAGGCCCTCAACATCATCGGGGACATCAACACCAGCACTATCAGCACCCCTATGCCCCCACCGGTGGACGACTCTTGGCTGCAGGTGCAGAGCGTACCGTCTGGACGCAGGTACCAGAGGCTCAGGGGGAGAGCCCCACAGACCTGCCTGATGCCTCTTTGGTGGCTAGCTGGGGCCTCCTACTGAGACAGGGAGTCCTCCTCTTCCCCTCTGATCCCTGTGGATATGAAGAGCTTGGAGTGTTTGTGTTGGGAGGCTCCTAGGCCTTGAGAGCTCTGTAGGGTTGCTGTGTCTTCACAGAAGATGCGGAGGCTTCTAAACCCTTAGATTAGATGGGGCCTGAAGTAGCTTTGAAGGCAACCTGAAGCCTGGCATGGCCCTTGAAAGCCAAAGAGTGGTATGTAAAGTGACGTGAAACTAAAGAAGGAACACTGAAGGCAGCTTATGGGGACCTGATAGTGACAGAGGGATCCCAGGCCTGTTGTTGCAGTTGAATTTCTTTGTTTGTTTGCCAGGTCTCCTACATCCAGCCCCACGCCACAGAGGAGAGCTCCTGCCGTTCCACCCGCCAGACCTGGGTCTCGAGGCCCAGCTCCTGGGCCACCTCCTGCTGGTGGGTCCACGCTGGGTGGTGCCCCCCCTGTGCCCTCCAGGCCAGGTGCCTCTCCTGATCCCTTTGGGCCCCCACCTCAGGTTCCTTCTCGGCCTAATCGTGCTCCTCCTGGTGTTCCCAGGTAAGTCCTGAAACGCTGCCCCATCCAAGTGGGATATGTCACCAATTTTTGGGTAGCAGCCATGACAGCACTTAGCCTACTGGGGCCGTAGAAAGTGAATGGAGCGCATGGAGTGGGTACAGTCTTTGGATATTTGAATTGGGTCTGTAGGCAGGAACATCATTGTCCCCTGAGATGTCATTGTACAGATGAGGCAATGCTAAGGCAGCTCTCAGGAACAGAGGGGCAACCTCTTCTCTGCACAAACCTCTGTGCAAAGGATGGGGGAAGAGGACCTTGTACCTGAGGACTTTATTAAAGCAATCATACCAGTGCCTCTACTCACGAGGAGGAGGTGGTCACCAAAAATCACAGGACTGGAGTGACAGTTCCCTGCTGTCTAGGGCTCCCCAAAGTCTGAAGTTGCCCCTATTCTCCTGGCCCAGACTTCTTCAAGGTGAGTTGGAGAGACCTTCATCTAAGCTGTTCAGGTGCTTTTTGGCTAGGACAATATTGCAGTATCACTGGCAGGGAAATGGATTTTTTTTTTTAGGCGTTTTTGTTGCTTCTGTAATCAACTCGAAACCTCTGGACTGGAAAATGTTCAAATCACACAGCTTTACTTTCCCATTAGGAAACTTAATTCCCTTCCTGTTCAGTCACTTCAAACACACTTCAGCATAGTAATAGGGGATTATCCCCTGTGCAGCTAAGCACCTGTTCCTGAACAGGACTTAGGAAACGGTCTGGAACCAGGAATGCTTTTATGTTGGGCACTTCCTTGTGAGGAAGATAAGGTAATTGCAGAGCAAAGAACGAACATAACCAGAAACTCCCCAATGACATGTCAGAGGGAACACTTCCCTCATGGAAAATATCTCCTCTCCAGTGGGTGCAGGTGGCATGTGTCTGAAGCTTTGCTGTTTTCTGGAAGCACCCGGCCTGTCAATGGGTAGTGATGGTGTATGGCTCAGGTGGTTCAGTCTTCCTTCTGTGACAGTGCCCCAGCTCATACTTGGTGCTGCCTGTTTGGAGGGGAAGTGTTCTCTGCCAGGCTGTATCCAACCCAGAGATGTAGGAGTCCAAAGAGATTATAGACCAGTTTCTGACTCTGGTGTGTGCAAATGGTTTTACTTTCTTGGTGCCTCTGCCCCAGTCCTCCCTGTGCACCTCCATGCAGCTCCCAGAGTAACTTGTCCACAAATGCCTCAGTGTTGACCCAGAGACTGCAATCCTGCTGATGGCACCTATGGATGTCAGCATGCTTCTACTGTGTATTTTGGCCCTTGCTTCTTGTGACCCTGCTTTTTCCATATCCTGTTACTTTGTGGTTTTCTTTTTTAGTATACTTATGCTTCTTTCTGTCTCCATCTTTCTTCTTTCACTCAGTTTCATTTCTTCACTCATGAAAAATATTCTATATACCTGATCATCATGATAGGATTTCCCAAATGGGCTGAAGTGAATTGGCCTTTTCTGAAGAAATCTGTCATAGCCTATCTTAATGGCTTTTCTGCCTTTTGCCTGAGGTAGAAGGGTTTAGGGGAAGGTAGGGAACAGCACTGGAGAAGAGGAAGAAAGTGTTTCATACTTAACCGAGCAATCCCTGGTTTTAGAAGGAAAGATGGTAGGTTGGATTGCATGCTACTGACTGCCCTGATCTGGAGTTGAGAATGTAATTCCAGAAGCTGTGAAGTGATGCTCATTCTCTGATCCTCCTCTCTGATTCTTCCAGTTGTTCATAGACTCCTCCGGATCCTGATACCAGCTTGTCATTTGAGTTCACTGATGAATGGAGAATTTCCAATGACAAGGGACTCTTTCTCTTCCTCTCCTGTATATAGAATAAGAAAGTTCCCTGCTAGCACTTGGACTCGGGTCCTTCTGCCATGGGTGAACGAATGCCATATTCATTGTTGCTTTTTTTAATACCCATCTCTTCCCTTGCTAACCGGGCTACACTAGTGTGTGTGTTCGTGTGAAACAGAGCTCTTGTGTATGGCCTGAGTGAGCTTTCTTGTAGGAGATGGCATTATGTAGTGAACTGGAAGCACATGGTGGTGGCTGGATGCACTTGGTGTGTGTATGCACACTGATGCCTGTGTAGAAGTTTAGCAGTTTGTGCCTCCAGTTTGTGTGAGCATCTGGTTTTATGGATGATGAACTTAGAGAAGCATTGCTCCACTTCTATTTTTTTTAATTAACATGATTGTACAGACACATGCTTTCACATATAAACACCACATGGTCCATTTTCTTGCACAGGAAGGTTTTCCTGCATATCATTAAACACACTTAAAACACGACTTACTGTCCTACTTCTGTACTTAGCATTTATTCAGTCTACTCTGGAAGTCTATTGCCGAATACATATCTTTGGGAGCTGAAAATTACAAACAATATAAGGTCTTATCTGTGTGCAGTGAAGGACTGCATTCAGGCTACATGCCTATTGGAGCTATGCAGGAGGATTTGTTCTGTGGAAAAAAACCATGAAGATACTCCTCCAGGTATTTAGTATATTCAGTTTAAAATAGTTTGATAAACTGTAGGTGAAAGAATTTAGGCAAGCTCAAAGGAGAAATGAGAAAGTTTCAGTGAGAATGACTTAACGATTGGAAAAATCTGTTGAAGATATTAATGGTTTCTCCATTCTTCGGTGCATCTAAGGAAAAATATGCAAGTGATCAGCATCACTGCAAGCGTAACTTCACACAGCTTTGACTTTTAACTATTCAGTAGGTCAGAGTGGCTGAATTCATGATTTGTGACCTTCAAAATATAAATCACCACCTGCTTCTTTTTTGGGTAGTGTTCAGGACTCCATGTAATCTCACT